CATCTAGTTGACTGTATTAGGGGGAGGTGGCTGGTCACATGACACGGATATGGATGCAGGATTGTGAGTGTTAAACTAAACCAGACAAGTAATGTAGTGAGATTTTAATGTTGACCAAAGGGTAGGGAAATGTATAACGCTGGTAAATATCTGTTATATATATATATCAGTCCAAATGTTTGAGCCCAGTGGGAGCTAAATAGGTCAGTAAACATAATCTATGACATTATCAGCATATTTTTTGATTAAACAATTTTATTTTCAACAAGAATACCTCCTGGTTGCACTCTGCAGATCTCCTATATGTGTGCCTGAGACATCAGCCGAGTTAGTCCAGTCATTAGGCTTCGTCCAAGCTTTACTTCATGCATTCATTGAGGATAAAACAACCTGGATTCTGGATTGACCGATGGGGTCAAAGCTCTGTGAGCATTTTAAGCTAAGAGACAATAAATAAAAGGTTTGGAAACGCTGTGAGATTTACTGGTTAGACTAGGAAGCACGAGGCGCTGCTCGAGCATCAGATGCTGCTAATGAGGCGACAGAGAAGATGAAACCTGGACCAACGATCGATTGATTAACGCCCTGCCTGCATGTTTAAGTGTTGGATAAACCAGCCAACCAGACCAAATATCCACCTGCCTGGTGTAGTTATAGAACCTGCTTTTATTAAACTACATGCAACCAATACAAACTTCTCCTAAATCACAGAGTTAATTAATAAAATATTTATTCATTTTACACTGAGACAATACTGAGCTTTCTATATTACATTTTTTATCAGGTTTTTAAGGAAACTGATTGGAGTTCCCCAAAAATTATTTTGTTTCCAGTTAAACCTCTACGCATAATTTACAACATAATTATTTGCGAGTCTTCGATCAACACATAATAATCTTGTATGGTTTATACTTAAAAGCGTTTTACTGTTATTTCTGTAAGATCTTCGTTTTCGGTTTATGCAATAGAAAAAAATTAACCCTTAGCTGATGGGAAAAAAGATTATAATTTATCTGAATAAAGCAGCTTTTGATTTTTGGAAGGATCCTTTCTTATTTAAAATAATCTAAGAAATCTTTCTATGCTTTTCAGTGTTTTTTTTCTTTCAAAGATTATTTTTACTTAAAAGCTTTTAGATGATATTCATGGTATATTGTAGGCATCTACAGGCATCTACAGCAAACATACAGATATGTAGTCCCACTGACAAACCGTACACGGATGATTTTTGATTTTTCAAGATCAAAAATAAGGAAAACAAAAGAAACAACAATAAAAAATTTAAATGACACAAATAGCTCCTGCCCAGACACCCCACCTCCCACCCTTGTATGGTTCACAATATCTTTTCTTCTACACTTGTGCCTCATTTTAGTTAAAAGCTCCTGGATCATGTTTTTCTCTTAATCCTTTTAAAGTCACAAATAGGCAGATTTATGATTAAATTATGTATTTAGCTCTACATAGTAAGGCTGTCCCAATACAAATTCTCTTTTATTACTGATATGATACTGATGCTGTAGCTTTAGGTATCGACTGATAGCGATATTAACCCGATACGATGTCAGTATGACTCGTTCATATTTATTTTCTAGCGTTGCACATTAGAGAAGGCTTAATCAGGTGATATTACTAAAAGAATAATATGTATGAGAACAACTGAGCCATTTATTATTAATCAAAGGTTGCTGAAACATCAAAAAAAAAAGTGTGGGGGCGGGGGGGTTCAGCTTGTTTATATGAGCGATTCTAGATGCAGAGCAATATCTTCCAGATACTAATTGTTGACTGATATTGGGCTGATCTCCATCATCAGTAACAGACCTAGACATTACAGAGCAGATTAGGAGCTAGAAGCACCACTTCATCTTTACTTTGATCTAAAATCATCGCCCTCAGCCTCATATCACCTGCACCTAATGGGGGAAAGTGTGCGTTTGTTTACAGCGCTGTCTTTTCTTTGACAACGACCATTTCACCTCCTTATGCTACTTTTCATATTTATCTTTGAGGTTCTCCTGTCAGAGGCGATCAAATGCTGCTGCAGCAACAATATCAGCAGTATTAGCATTAGCAGCAGCACAAATGAGGGAAATTGGAGTAATGTCATCTCTGCAGTAAATGCATGCCAACTACTGAATTGATGCTAGACACATAATAAAGAACTGCTACACACAGTAAAGGTAGGGAAGCTAAGCTACTAGTAGCTATTAGTAGCAGCAGTATACAAAGTTCAAATGTGACGTCACATATCCAGATCCACTTTCTGGCTAACCTCCATTTCTGTAGGAAGAAACTGTAGAAATCGCCGAGTAAGTTTCACTACAGACGAGTGTTTACCCTATTCTTATTTTTTCACAAAGCTTGCAGTGGTCATTTCCAGTTGGATGAAGGATGCTCCAGCCATGAGAATGGTTCTGCAAAGCACAATTGCCTTTACATCATAAAAAGATGAAAATAGGAAGAACAGTTAAAGGTTGACACTGTTCCACAGAGAAAGACGTCAGTTTGTGGATGTATTGTTCTAATGCACACAGGTCAAGAACATAAATAAACTTTCTTTTTAGTTTTTTTCTGGACGTTACAATGATTGGTTGTCTATCACTGTGCTTGCATACCAAGATGGTGTGTGAGACACTTCCATGTAAGCATGTAGGAACTTTGTACTAGCATTAGCAACAGTCGTGTTAAAGTGCTACAGCTACTGAGAGCTGCACACATCAAAAACGTGAAAGAATAGACCTGACACCTTTGCTCTAGTTAGTTAGTTTAGAATATATAGTGAATGACTGTTTTTAGTCAAATAACAATAAACTGAACCAAACCAGACTTTCTAAATGTAGTTAAAAACAACCTACTGCGAATTAAAACTAAATCACATTATAAGACCCTGAACAACATTTAGCAAAAGCTTTTGCAAAAGATTTTGTTTTGTTCTTCACTTCCCTAAAACGGATAAAGCCACCGTCTCAAAGAGGAAGTCGTGCCTTGTAGAGCATCAGCTCCACTGGTGCTGGAATTAAAAATCTCTTTGAAAAGGCCGCACAGGAATTTAAAAAAATGAACACATTTTATTACCTTTAATTAATTTAATTCATCTATGAAATATTCAGTAAATGAAAACGGTGATCTCCCTTGTTCAGGCATTGCAGCACGTTTTACTGTTGCAAAGGGAAATTCCTCAAAAACAAAACAAAAGGAAAATGCAAAACAGAACCTGCGTGTTTTCAAAGAGGAACCCTGCACACAAAGAGACATTAGAAAACTGGCCGCTGGTGTGCAACATCCTCCTGTGAAAAGGAAGGTCTGCAAGGCTAAAAACACAGAATTGCAACTAAATTATGTTTATTTTAATGTGTGACAGAAGGCTTTAGGGGGTCATTTTTACCTGAAAAAAAGCTCTATATAAATGATATTCTATGCTAAGAATTTCTTAATGATAAGTGATGGTCTGTGTGTGTGTGTCAGCTTGCAGCGATGTGTTGGAGGGGTTCTTACTACCTTTGGCTTTAGGATACTTTCTGAGCTCCTGCTGAAGAGCCTCAAGAGGAAACGGACACAGCTCCTCCACACGGATGAGCGCCGTGTTCTGGTTGGCCGCTGAAGCCTCTCTCTGTTTCAGCAGAGCGTAGTAATGCTTCCCGGAGCACAGCACCACCTTCTGGACGCTGGGTGGAATGAGAATCAATGGGAAGAGATTTTTTTAACTACTTATTGTTAATACAATAAAGAGCACAAATGAAGAGCGGAGAAAAGTGACAGTTATTGGAAAATATTTTGTGTTTTTATGGTGAGTTTAGCTTCATTCATAAGCTTCAAGTTTGTCAGTAAAATGTTGACATTAATTTATCAGTTATTTATTTTGTTAAAGTTGTGGCAAGGATCATTAAGTTGTTTGCGGTATTCATACAAGCTTAAGTTTTTTTTTAAAGCAATTTAGATTTTTGTTTTATACATAAAAGTTTTTTCTTCCCCAAAGCAAAGCAGCTTATGAAACCTCGCATAAAAACCGACCAGAAATAATCCCCAATATATCCAATATAAATTAAAAAAGATACCAGATGCATCGAAAACCTGGTCTGGACCACAATATCCAGAGTGATTGATATGGATCGGTGAATGCGGCTGAAATTAATCGTGATTAATCTATTATTGGAATAATCGTCAACTAGTTTAGTAATCGATTAATTGTTTAACAGGAGATTAGAAACAGTAAAATATGCCTTTAGGTGACAGATCTACCAACCCAGAAGAAATGATACCAAAATTCTAAAAAAAATAAGTACAAATCTTGCATTTAAGATATAAAAACATATCTAATATATATAAACATGTACAGGGTCATTTCTCTGACAATTCTATGGATATAAAGCAAAAATGGGAACTAGAAATGAACGTGGTAATTGAAGATAAGAAATGGGAGGAGATTTCAGAAAAAGGTTTTAAGATTACCCACAGCCCAGGATGGAAAGAGTTCAAGTGGAAATTAAGAAAGATGTTTTAAAACTCCTTTTAGTATCTCAAAATATGACAGAAATGTCTCAAATTTATGATGGAGGAACTGTAATTTTTTTTTTTACAGTGTCCTGTCTGGCAATGTGGCAATAAGAATAATTGTCTTGATGCCAAAAAGAGCCCAACAGATTTTACTTTCACAAGTGCAGCGGTACGGCAATTGCCATATTGCTACACTTGATTCATGCATATAAATTGCTTTGTTATAATTATGCAGGGAGTTTTACAGTTTATATGGACACTGCAATGTAAATAGAGCAGAAAAACAGAAGAAGGAAAAAAAGAGAAAAGATGAAAGAAAGATGAGATAGAAAGGAGACAATGACAAAACATTTTCAGTCTGCTTCATCATCTGTAACGAGATGAAAAAAGAACAGCACAACCGAAAGACATGGTACGAGATATACAATAAAGCAACACCTTGAAACTCTCGCTGAAGTAATATTATTAAGTCTGACATGTACTCTGTGTTACCTGAAGATATGAATGTGGGGTTTCTGTGTGAGGAACTGTAATCAAATTGGGGACCACACTCTCATTTTTTGGGACTGTCCAGTACTGATTCCATTTTGGCAAGGGATCCAGACAGAAATTTAAAGAATACTTAAGTTTACTTTACCACTGAACCCGCTCTACTATATATTAGGTTTGATTCCAAAAGATAATATTGGGAAAAGGGAACCCCAATTACTACAGATTCTGTTATTAGTAGCAAGGAAAATGATAACTCTGTCTTGGCTTAAACCTTTGCCCCCAACCCTTCAACAATGGCAAGAAAGGTTGAAGAATGTGTATAAAATGGAGAAGATAACAGCAAAAATTTATGTGAAAATGGACATATTCTTGGAAGTGTGAGCCGCAGCTATTGACTAGTTTGGATGGCCACACAGATAAAGAGCCTCATATGCTAAAAAAAATTATATCAGCGCCCGTTGTTTGTATTTCCCCTCTTTTATGATACACTAGACATATAAACCTCCCGTTTATGGGAGCTAATGAAGACCTCTCTAAGAACTGTCAATTGCTGAAACAGATTTGAATGTTTTCTGAGCCCCATCCCTTTTTACTTTATTTATTTTATTTTATCTTATTTATTGATTTTTTTTTTTTCTCCACTACTTTTGGGTTTGATGTTCTCTGCAGTTGCACACATATGAAGATACATTTGTATATATGTTGGATATATTATATTCTTAAATAAAGAATGTTCAACAAAAAAAATATATAAAAGCTTTTTCATCTGTGAGTATGCTCTATCCAGAACTCTTCAAGTGGAATCGTTTTAGTTTCACCTGGTTTAATTTCGTAAAAACTCTTCCTTAATGAACCTTTAGCTATCTGATTATCGATCAATTAATAAAAAAAAAACAATCAACAGATTAATCGATTTGCAAAATAATCATTAGTTGCAGCCCTTCATCAGTGCTACCTTAAACTGCTGACATCTCTCCTCACATCTGAAAGGGTTAGAGACGTTAGGTGTTTACAAATGTAATCAGGGGAAGCAAAGAGATGCGAGACACCGTTAAATTAAAATTTTTTTCCTGTTGATCAAGTCTGGGAGGACGAACGCTCTTTATGATCTTTTTAGGATTTTAAAATCTACCATCTAATACTCTTGGAAATATTGGCGCTTTTTTTACAAATATCTAAGGCAATAATAGATCTAGAAAGTGGAACAGAATGCTGATTATTAAATATCTGGTAAATATTCAGATTTCCAGTAAGAAGTTATAGGTCGTTTACCCCTCTGCAGGAACAGACGGATCCCCCAACACTGGCCTGAAGGACGTCCCTGGTCCCAGTTCACTCAGACTGGACACGGCTCCCTGCAACAAACAGGTATCTTAGATTCCTTCTAATGGAAACAAGGGATTAAAAAAAAGCTTCTTTTTCTTACAGAAAACCTGAGCAGCGTCTTGGGTCCGACCACAATAAGAGGTTTGCGGAAATTTCGGATCATCTGTCTCCTTAGGAGGTGGAAGTACTGAGTGGGAGTGGTGGGGTTCACCACCGCCATGTTAACGTTGTCCCCGTCCACACCCTCTTCTTTACTGTCACACATCTAGCAGACAAAAGCACAATAAACGTTTTTAAATCAAACTTTTAGAGTAGTGATAATTTGCTATTAGCTTAAGAGGAAAATGATTTTGCTTTAATCTGATCCAGGTTTCTGCTGCTGCTTTTTTCCCATTAAGAAACTTATTCTCTGTTAAATTGCTATTCGTTAACCCTGCGGGGTTTAATATCTGTGCTGCACCACCTTCCTTTGCATTGACAACTGCTCTGAACTAAAAGATAAACATCCACTCAGGTTTAGAAATTGAAAAAAACTCATCACAAGGATGACTTATTTAACTAGGCCTTTAAATGATTTATTTACAAAACTGTTTTTCCAGGGAGAATTGATCATATTAGGTACAGTTTTTATACCCTTTAAGCCAAGAACTAGGGGCAAAGCTATTTATTTTTATCATAATGAAACATGTGTGAAAATTGTAAATTTACAATGTTTGGATTAATGTCCCAAAGCTGAAATATCCTCAAGCTTTATGCAGCCATCTACAGGCTTCTGACCTGATCTTGGATGGCGATCTGATCACTCTTCTTCTCAACGTACTCAACAAATTAAACATTTCTGGCTTTATGACCTTAGTACGGCTCATGCCTTTTCAATACGGTTATCTTTATACTATTGTTGCACTTCATCTGTTCTAGAAAAGATTAGGATCTTAGTTTGGGATAGTTTATTCCAATGAAACACACAAATGTGTCCACATTTCAAAACTTTTAACAATTCAGCTGTTGACCTGAAGTTACAATGAAAAATTTGGAGTAGGCAATGCAAATGAACACAGAACTACTCCCACAGCATCATGCTTCCACCACCATGTCTTGCTGCGATTACTATCTGTAGGGTTTAAAGGTTAAGCTCCTCCATACTTCCTTCTTGACACGACGAGGGCTGATATCATTTTATTAGATTGATCTATTATTTAGGTAATTTGTCAACTGATCCTTGAGTCGAGTACAAAGACTATTAAACATGGTAATTGCTGTAAGAAAAAACTAATTCATAGCTGTAATTCATCTAAAACTAATATATAAGCAAAAATTATTGATAGTTGCAGCCCTGAGTGTCCAAACAACTGAATTTTTCTCACAATTTAAAAAAACAAAACAAGTAGGTATTTGGGTTATTGGTGCAAGAAGTTACCACTGAAGTTCCCATCAGGAAGCAAAATATGTTGTTAATCTCTCATAACGTTGGACAGTTTGCTATTGACTTGGTGGTTTCTGATAATCCAGGCCTCAAAACTTACAAAATTTTAAATCTGTGAACATTTATTTGCTTTATAATCATTCTTCCTACAAAAAAATTTAAAATGTAAGGCAACAGAAAAAGACCAAAATGAATCCCCTAGTTCGTAACGATTCGAATATCTAAACCTCTGACCTACTCTGTTAACTGACTTCCAGTTTCCAAGGGTAGTGCTATTTTATCATACACCAAAGCTATTCAGATGTAAATACATTGAACTTTATATAATGGGATTCTGTAAAACCAACAACTAACAAGTTGTTGGAGATCAGCCTGTTTTTC